TCTCATTCTAAGGTAATAAAAAACCCAACAATTCCTATATTCAGGTGATTAAACACTAATGAAAATACACCTATGAATATTATATTCCACTTCTGCCAATAGAGCCTCCTAAATGTCACCGGACCTTTAAAGCCCAGCAGTGCAGAGGTACAGCTGAGACACACAAGCATGTGCACGCATACAGTGTTAACGGCTGCAGACAGACACATAGAGACAGACGGGTTTTTGCAGAGCAGGGGAGCTTGTAAGGTGAACTCAAATCCTCTGCTGTTAACCCTTCTCTCAGGACAGCTTGCTGCACGGCAAGCGTACAGGAACACACGCTGCCGACACGTCTTCACTCATATATGTATATATATACATTCACCCTCTTATTGGCTCCTAAGAATAAATATTATTCTGTCCAAACTTCTCCAACTAACTTTTTTGTTGTTAGGGAACCACAGCTCACCCACAGACACTGAGCAGCATGTATCTACATATAATTCTCCAATATAAACATTATGGGTCATATTTATGGGCTTCAAACGCTATCCTGTTAAAAACCTTGTGTATTATTCGGAGGAAACTGTTGGCCTTTTTAGTGTGACTCACTTCCTCGCTGCTGACTTTGACTGTCAATGTCTGTATGTTACTGGGTCATCAGCTCTGCACAGTGAACTCCTTGCCACCTTCAACTCACTTTCCCTTGAAACAAAGATGCTACCAGCGTGCAGACACACAGATTTCAGATTTCAGAAGACATTATACACTTATTTAGTGCAGCTTTGTACACTATGAAGTCGGCCATTCCTGACACAGGATACAGTGTGTTTGTCTTCTAAGGCAGTGGTTTTAATTTGCTCCATTGTTGTAGTTCCCTCACAACTAGAGCCAGTCCAACACATCAGCATTTAACATGTCAGTCAATTTCAGTTTATCACAGACATTTTCTTTGGCATATATGCTAAAAGTAACAGTCGCAGTACAGACAAGATGACAAAGATATGTTTGAGGTCATTTAAAAGTGTCGCCATTGCCGACTTTCAGCCAGCTTAGCCGTTACAACGTGGGTAGTATATGCAAATGAATAATGTTTAGCCTCCTTCCATGTTGTCTGCACCCAGAGCTCCTCGCTCATTTGCTGGCAAAAGTCCAACACATGTCATCTGGAGCATTTTTTTATTTTACTACTACTACTACTTCAATCAATTGAGCAAATAACCTAAAGATTAATAGACAGTAATTGTTAGTTAGAGCTCTACAGCCCTGTCATTCTTCCCAGAGCTTGAACTTTCCTGTCTTTGAAGTTCCCTCTAGCGCCACCTTCAGGCTAAAATTAAATTTGCTCCGATCGGCATAAATCGGTACATGTACTTTTTTAATTTTAATGATACAATGAGATTTCTTTTAGCATCACTCTCAAGGCAGACTCTCCTGGTGCAAGGAATAGCATTATATCTTCTATATATATATATATCTCATCATCATCTGTCCAACATTTCCCGATAATAGGCTGAAGGAGCTCCAGACTACAAGTACCGTTCACAGCTAATCTGATAATACTTATTAAATTATAATGTTTCCCTCTGACCTTCAGGGGATGCAACATACCGATTTGTGCTCCATTCATAGAGGAAACGAACATGACGCCGGCCTACTGAAAGCATATTTGACCTATTAATGAGGCCGCTGTCATAGGTTAATCCCTTGTTGTCACCATTCATAGAGGCTCACTGCAGCCCACTGCACATCAGTTTCTGTGTCCCTGAACCCGCCGCTCTGTCCCACTTCACCCTCCGTAAAAATAACTTTACATGGCAAATCTTTAATCAACCTGTGAAGCCAAAGGCATTTCTGTATTTGTGGAAAATAACGATGATTATTCAACCTTCATGGTTTAAAAGTTTACAACACAAAGAGTTACAATTGACCGTGTTGAGTCAATCAGCCGACGTCAGTAGCTCAGTGCAGCTGTCTGGCCTCAGATTCGCCCCCTATAGGTTGATCTGAAAAGCTGCTGCGGACAGATTTTCTGTCGTGTTTTGAAATTATGCCAAGAAACCCATCAGGAAACCACCGCGTTTCAGCTCTACATGCTAGAACCACAAATAAAATACAAACAATATTTTAACAGATTACATTTAATTAAAAAGGTTTCAATAAAAGTGCAATTTGTATGTTAAAAACACATCAAGAATACTCACCAGGATGTTTTCCACTTTTGATTGAACAGATTTGCTGCAAAATAGAGACATAGTATAAATTAGTATGAAGCTGGTGTAACATGAGCGCTTGTGTCTAAAGTGTATTTATTTATAAAGCAGAAGAATGTTTGGTATGAGACGACCCTCCCTTCAGCATCTCTCAGGTCATGTATCCCACCACCAGGAACACATGTTGTCATATGTAAAAAGAGGGAGAGAGACAGGCACTGTGGTAACATTGTCTCTCAGTAATTCATTTGCAGACGCTGAGTAAATCTACTATACTGTCTGTTTCATCCCATTGAAGTCTAATCTTGAAAGAAGAACTTCATAAAAAATAGGGTCTATGGTAGCTATTATGTAAAATCTTACTTAGAGAAAAGCAAAACAACTAAAATCCTTTAAGAATGTTTTATAATTCCTGACCTTATCCATATACACAATGCGCACTGTATACAGTCACATCCATACTGTACACACCTGTGTGTGTGGTGCGGAGCAAATTAACTAATCAC